AATGCTGAACTCAGCATTCTTTCTCTCGTTGCTCAGCAGTTCAACAGTATCCATTACAAATGATATATTTCTTGTTATCTGTCTATAGACTACAATTCATCATAGTCCCACACTGTTGTCAAAGTGGTGCAAGGTTTTCCTTTAATTTTCCTGCTAAGGAGAAGGGAGCAATTACTCTTGTTTCACTGTCACTTGTTGCAAGAACACTGATCTCTAGCAAGAAGATGGCATGACTATGACGCTGGTTGACACTGGTGCAGCACACCATTCCAATTAAACTGTTTATGAGGAAGTAGGAGAAGCCATCAGCACTTCTTCTGGGAGGTCTGAGTCCGTCAAGTCCCTCAGGGGGCTGAAGGGGGCCGAGAGGATATCTCCTTGCTTGAGAATTTTCTCCACAGCATCACATACATGTTCTTGTGAAAATTATCATTATTATTATTATTATTATTATTATTATTATTATTATTATTATTTATTATTATGTGAGTAAATTACCTGCAGGAGGCTTACAGGGGATTACCTGAGTTATTACCTGTAAGTAATTTGGGTGAGGTAAGTGGGACTTAGCCACAGTAAGTCACTGAACTGTTACTCCCTCTAATTCCCACCTCCTCACCACTCACACAAAAAACTAGAACTGACATTAAATTAATAATTATAATATTTAAACCAGTAGTAATTAAAGTTGTGGACTGTATATAATTAGGCTTGCTGGGTACACAAAATATAATTGGTATTAACACTTACCATTTAATTAATGTAGATGGATCACACCACAACACCTGCCTGACACCTAGACCCTACAATGGCCAGCTAGAGATCTACATGAAAGGACTAATGGCACAATTCCCTGTGTGAGTGATAGCATATTAGTCATCTTGTATGTAATTCTTGAGGTCCCACATATTTCTTGCCCCAGTTCTTCAGTAAGGGACACTAAAATGGGTTTCTATTACAAATTCAGGCCACAAAACCAATTTGGCCATGAAGACACCTGTTATTAGCTGAATTTTCAACCAGTGTCACTAAGTAGCTCTTCTCCCCTCACTCGAAATTTCTCGAAGGGTCCAAATAGCATCATATTTTAATACAGAATTATTATATTATTCATTTATATGTTTTTACATTTGTTATAAATGACTATAATTCGTTGTAGAATAATCATACAATTATACTTATATCAAAGTGTTGTCAGAATGCTAAGGCATTTTTCTATAATATTAACTAATTTTTCATATTTTTTTCAGTTTTTTTTTCACTCCGCTTGCCACACGGGTCGCTCTCCCCTTTAGGTCCATTGTTGTTCATAACTTACATTAATGACCTTGATGAGGGAATTACAAGTGACAGAGCAGATTTGCTGATGCTACGGAAATAGGCTGTATGATTTATTCTGAGAAGAACACCAATGAACTCCAGGAAGATTTGGACAAATTAATGTCTTGGTCTACAAAGTGGCAGATGAATTTCAATGTGGGAATTAAAATAACCCTCGAACTTAAAAAGCAGGTGATGTAGAGTATGATCATACAGAATGTGAAAAGGACTTTTGAGTTTTGGTAAGAATAGTGCCAAAGATTACTGGAATTTATTTGTAGTAGCATAAGTAAGAGAAGTCCAAAAGTTATTTTACAGCTCTATACATCCCTAGTGAGGCCTCACTTAGATTATGCAGCTCAGTTTTGGTCTCCTTACTACTGGAAGGATAAAGACTCAATGGAGAACATACAGAGAAGGATGACTAAAATGATTTACTGTATAAGGAATCTCCCGTATGAAGATAGACTTAGAGCCTTGAATCTTCACTCTCTTGAGAGAAGCAGAATGAGGGGAGATTTTATTGAAGCATATAATTGGATTGATGGGCATAAACAAATGTGATATTAATAAAATGCTGAGGATATAGATTCAGGCAAGAAGGAGAAATAACGGATTTAATTTAGATAAATTTAGATTTAGAAAGGACATAGGTAAGTACTGGTTTTCAGAATTGTAGATGCGTAGAACACTCTTCCGGGTAGGGTAATCGAACTTGGACCCTGGGAAACTTTAAAAAGAGAATGGGAAAATATATGAGTGGGAGGGGCTGGGTGTGATTGGTGTCGTGGATAACATAGGACCAAATGAATAGAGAAACATTGCCGATGGCCTACTGACCCATACCAGGCAGGTCCTTATCAAAACCACCACTTCCCAAAACTACCCAGAATTTACTCCCGTACCCACGACACCAATTAAACCCAGCCCCTCCCACTCATATGTTTCGTCCAGTCTCTTTTTAAAGCTACCCAAGGTCCTAGCCTCGATCACCCTACTTGGAAGATTATTCCACACGTCCACAACTCTGTTCGAAAACCAGTACTTACCTATGTTCTTTCTAAATCTAAATTTATCCAACTTAAATCCATTATTTCTGATTCTTACCTGGTTCGATACCCTCATCACTGTATTAATATCACCTTTGTTTATGCCCATCATCCAATTATATACTTCAATGATATCTCCCTTCATTCTATGTATATCCAGAGAGTGGAGATTCAAGGCTCTAAGTCTATCTTCATATGGGAGATTCCAAATACAGTAAATCATTTTAGTCGTTCTTCTCTGTATGTTCTCCAATGAGTCTATATCCATCCTGTAGTAAGGAGACCAAAACTGAGCGGCATAATCCAAATGAGGCCTCACTATTGTTGTATAGAGCTGTAAAATCATTTTTGGACTTTGGGTTACTTATACTTCTTGATATAAATCCTAGCAATCTACTAGCCTTATTGCGCACACTTAGGCACTGCTTTCTTGGCTTTCGATTTCTGCTTACAATGACTCTCAAGTCTTTTTCACATTCTGTATGACCAAGCTCTACTTCACCTAGTTTATAACTTCGAGGGTTATTTTCATTACCAAGGACTAGTACTTTAAACTTGTCCACTTTGAACTCCATCTGCCATTTTTCAAACCAAGGCATTAATTTGTCCAAATCCTCCTAGAGTTCATTGGTATCCTCCTCAGAATGAATCATACGGCCTATTTTTGTATTATCAGCAAATTTGCTCATGTCACTTGTAATTCCTTCATCAAGATCATTAATGTAAATTATGAACAACAGAGGGCCTAAAACTGATCCTTGTGGAACGTCACTAGCGACTAATCCCCATTCAGAATTGACTCCATTAATGGAAATTCTCTGCTTTCTTTTGGAAAGCCATGCCTCTATCCATGCTAGAACTTTACCTCCTACACCATGAGCTGCCGAAGGCTTTACTAAAATCCGAATAAACAGATGTTTTATTGAAGAACGTCAGTAAATTTGTCAGGCAGGAACTACCTCTCGTGAACCCATGCTGAGATTCATTAATCAAATTATGCACTTCAGCATGACTTTTAATAATATCAGTTATAACTGATTCTAACAGTTTGCCTACTATAGACGTCAGGCTTATTGGAAGATAATCTGAAGGAATGGACTTATCCCCTGATTTGAATATAGGAACTACATTAGCCATCTTCCACATCTCTGGCACAACACCAGTTAGGATGGACGCTTTAAACACACTCGTTAACGGCTGAGTAAGTTCCATCTTGTATTCTTTAAGTACCCTGGAAAACAACTCATCGGGTCCAGGGGACTTAATTTGCTTCAGTTTATCTATCTGTTAGATAGTTATGCAACAGTTAGGTATCTTTATTTCGAAACGTTTCGCCTACACAGTAGGCTTCTTCAGTTGAGTACAGAAAGGTTGATAGAAGCAGAAGATACTTGAAGACGATGTAATCAGTCCATCACCCTTAAAGTTTTGAGGTGGTCAGTCCCTCAGTCTCCAGACTGAGGGACTGACCACCTCAAAACTTTAAGGGTGATGGACTGATTACATCGTCTTCAAGTATCTTCTGCTTCTATCAACCTTTCTGTACTCAACTGAAGAAGCCTACTGTGTAGGCGAAACGTTTCGAAATAAAGATACCTAACTGTTGCATATGTGTCTTACCTAACAATCTGTCGGTATTTCATACCATTTTAATGTTTATCTGTTAGATAACCATGTCTCTCGTGACAGTAATATTAATTAACTTGAATTCTTCAGGAACTGAATAATTGTGTTAATTTCTGGAATCTCATTTACGTCTTCCTGTGTAAAGACTGACAAAAAATAGATATTAAATATAGAACACATTTCCAGTTCGTTATCTGTCAGCTGTCCATTCCCATTTTTCAGAGGTCCTACTTTTTCCCTCACCTTCGTCGTATACATTTGAAAGAACCCTTTTGGATTAGTCTTTGATTCATTAGCAACTATGTTTTCATAGTCACGTTTATCCTTTCTAATCCCCTTTTTTACTTCTCTTTTAAATTGAACATATTGGTCAGTAACGTTAACTTCTCCTCTTTTGATGCGCCTATAAATTCCCCTTTTCACCCCTAATAGATGCTTTAGCCTCCTGTTAACCCATTTGACCTAATTTCTGTCTGGGGAATATATATACTCTGAGCACGGTGTACATTATTAAGGAAAAAATCATAAACGCAGATTCCTTCGTAATCGTAAGTATGATCATCGTCAATAAAATTCCTAGCTAGATTTTGGGTTGCTGTGATTTTGATAAGGACCTGCCTTGCATGGGGCAGTAGGCCTTCTTCAGTATTCCTCTATGCTTATGGTCCTATGTAAAATGTGAAAATAACTTGGGTTTTATGGAAAGTAGCAAACTTAAACCAAGACAGCAATGCCTAAGGGTACGTAATAAGTCAAATAGATTACTGGGATTTATTTCAAGGAATGTAAGCAACAGAAGTCTAGCGGTTATACTATAGCTTTATGCATCATTAGTAAGGCCTCACCTAGATTACGCCGCTCAGCTCTGATCTCGATATTGCAGAATGGATATAAATTCTCATAAATCCCACACTTCTCAGCACTCAGTCAAACTATACGTCAAAAAAATAATCCGGTATGTTTAGTATCCCCGCGCATTTCATTCCTGAGAACCCTCCTCATTACCCTGTGGTTGCAAAGTTGGTCCAGAGTGTGGCCATAATATCGGTCACACGCAGGTCCTCTGGTGCACTCAGTTTCCCAGGGATCTTCGAAAGTTTCTGCTGCGTGTTATGATGAAACTGGTAGATCAGGTCGTCAGCATGTGGCACCCCTGCAGGTGGAACAGGCGATGTTTCTAAACATCTGTTTCTTCAAGTAAAATGAATATAAGTTATAATTAGACAGATGAATTCACAAGTAAAGAGCTTCAAAGTCCACAGCAGGAGACTAACACCCTGGAAATTATTTAATTCTAGGTGAACATAGGCAGCAGGAGAAAAAAGAGTCACTTTGGTTGTGAGCCGAGGCCTCTGTCATTGTACTGCATGTCGCCTTTGGTGTTATGGATTAATTTGCCATGTGAGATATATGTCTCTTCTTATTACAGCTAAGTGTTCGGTTGTTAATCTGTTGCATTTCATGTATAACTTTGATTAACAGTAGGTTAATTTTCTAAATGTATGACTTTGATTAACAGTAGATAAATTTTCTTAATAATGTTTTCTGTATGAGTAATTTGCCAACAAAAACTAATCTTTAAGCTGATGTTTATGAACATAATACATGAATATTCTGTTTGCGAAATTATGTTTGTTTATAAACAAATAATGGAGAAAGTCTGATAATTGAGTTGGTGCACCTGCACTTGTTACTGACAGTGGGATTAAGAACCTACCACGCGTAAGTTGCTTATTGTGTAGTATATTCACTTACAGTGTTTGCCGACGTGTGTATGATATAAGTCTCCGAAGGAGATCTCACCCCTGTAACCGAACTCATAGCGGTAAGTGTTGTGGTGGTGAGCATAATGGGCGTGGTGCTGCGTCACAAGGTCGTGATCCACCATGAAGTGTGCGTCGCTGAACAGCTGTCGGAGACACACAATATTTCGGGATGAATCTAGACGACCACTCGGTCCACTTGGATCATTATCAAATCATGAGTAGATTTGATACTGGTCCTGGAGTGGCTGAAACGTCGATTAATTTCTTGTCCAGTTTATTAATTATGGTTTAGCATATAGTGTAAATTATTTGGAAATATTGTGGCTATGATGATAAAATATGATGAAATATGTGACAAAACTGGAGCATATTGTGATGAGAGCTTTTGACTATAGGACCATCGAAAATCTGTCAATAGAAACCAAGCAATTTTCGAAATGACTTTCCATCGAAAAGATCGACATTTTTCCAATCGTATACCTGATGCTGTATGGATGAAACAAAAAGTGAATTTGCTTTAATATGTTACATGAAGAGATAATATATCACAAGCACACACACAGACATACAGAGACCAAGAGCTGTGAGTAGACCCCTGCAAGGACATATAGGTGAGTATACACAGTGGCTTAAGAACTCATAAAAATACCAACAGGTGTACCTCGACTGTGACAGAACATGAAAGAAACAAAATAATCTGAGAGGGTACAAAGATGCAATGGGCAGGAAAGAGAGATAAGGCTAGAGACAGGCAGTGGAACCCAGACTTGGGAGCATTGTTATCTGTTTTTTTTTCATAGGTAGGTATACCCGGAGAAATTCTTTCTAATGAAGGAACACAATTTGCTTTTTAACTAATGGACCAAGTACATCAACTTGTGGGTGTTCAACCTGTTTTCACTACTCCTTACCATCTAAATTGTAAAAGAAGAGTGGAACGATAATATGCCATCTTAAAGTCAATATTTAAGAAACTTTGTTTCCTTAAACCAACCGACTGGCACAAATATCTGCCATGTGCTCTCTTTGCTATGTGTGAAATCCCAAGGGATTCCCTTGGATACTCCTCTTTTGAATTACTCTATGGGAGACCCACCCGTCGGCCTCTGTTTATCTTCAATGAACTGTAGTCCAAAGATATTAAACCTGAAGTTCAAATCACATATCGGTTTCTTTTAGATTTTAGAGAAAGGTTGGTAGAAACCGCTGAGTTGGTTGTCAAGAACCTGAATATGTTCATAGAAACATACAAGACCTATTTTGACCAAAAGAGCTCTAAGCATCAATTTAATATTGGTGAGGAAGATTTGGTTCTTTTCCCAGACAAAAACAACAAATTATTAATTGCCTGGCGCTGACCGTATAAAGCAGTAAAGATCTGTAATGAGGTAGATTATCTCTTGGATGTCAAAGGTAAGAAAAGAGTGTATCATGTCAATATTTTGAAGTTGTACCACTGTAGAGAAGTTAATCTTTCTTTAGACTCCTTCGATGAGGATACTGAGTCTTACAGCTTAGTTAACAGTCATGATTCTTGTGAATGTAAATTTGTATTATAGATAACGAATCTCACACAAAATCGAAGGAACTTCTTGATATTCTAACGGCTGATTCTCCAACTAGTAACTGAAGCGTCAACATCAACAGTGAACTGTCTGGAAAACAAAAGTCTCAGGTAAGTGCCTTAGTAAATACTTTTTCAAATGTCAATTTAATAAGGAGATTCCAGGACTTACCACTACCGTTGTTCATAAACTGAATTGTCAGCCCATGAACCAATAAGACGGAAACTCTCCTGTCCCCGTTCACTTACGGAAAGCGTTTGACAATGAAGTTGACAAGCTACTAAAGTTTAATATCATAGAGCCTTCTAAATCAGGTTTCTGCTCACCAGCTAATTCTTACAGACTGACTCAAGATTTTCGGTGAAGAGGTCTAGCCTGGAGAGAGTGAACCTAGTAGCGACCAGCGACGAGGCGGGGCCAGGAGCTGTGATTCGGCTCCTGCAACCACATATAGGTGAGTACACACACACACACACACACACACACACACACACACACACACACACACACAGAAGTCCCAGGAAGCTCGTCACCAATAATCTCTTCACTTGCAAAGACAAAACTTCTCGCTTAATTGTTTAATAATAATATATAACAAATTACATACATTGATGGTTCTACGCAGGAGTCCACAGGCAAGGCTGCCTCTACCCCTATTGCCACCTTCCTAGATAACGATAGGAACTACATTGAGTTAGGCATCAAAATTGATAAGTTGGCCAAAAAAAAAGTACCCTGATGGAAAACGTAGAATATTGAGACACTTATGCAGCGTGTGAGAATCTTTGTTCGGGGGGCGTTTCGCCGCACAGTGGCTTCATCAGTCCAATGCGGGGGGGGGGGGAGAGAGGAGGAGTGTGGGGTGATCGGTCCCTCAGCCTGGAGTCGGTGTGTTCGGTCCATCGGTCTTGTGGAGTGTGCAGCGTGGGGCCGTGGGCGTGGCTTGTGTGCTGTGGTGAGGTGAGGTGGAGCGGGCGGAGGCGGGGTCATAGTGGTCAATAAGTCTTAAGGGGTCATAAGTGTCTCAATCTTCAACTTGTCGGTTTTTCAAACCATTCATCACAACTGTCAGATACTGCAGCATCATGGGATCTTGTTACAAAGAATTCTTCAACACTTGTTCAACCTTTGGACGAAGACCTACTTCGACTAGTGGATGGTACCACTATGACCCCGCCTCCGCCTGCTTCACCTCACCTCACTGCAGTGTATGGGCCACGTCTGCGGCCCTGTGCTGTGCATTCTACAGGATTGGTGGGCTGAGCACATGGGCTCCAGGCTGGGGGACTGGTTGCCTCATGCTCCTCTTCTCCTTGCGCCTTCCTCTTTGTGTTGGACTGATGGGGCCGCTGTGTGGCGAAACATTTCCTGAATGGGGATTCTCGTGTGCTGCATAAGTATCTCAATCTTCAACTTGTCGGTTTTTCAAACCATTCATCACAAAACGTAGAATATAACTTTGGCGTGTCTGTGTCTTGCATTAGGAATAATATTAGGAGAGAAGTAAATAATGAAACAATGTTATAGGAATGTACTTAGAAGCCTGAGTAGATCAATCACCCATCATACTAACCTGAACCTAGATAATTACGTTTATGGAGCAAATTGTAATGTAAACACAATAACTAATATTGTAGTATAGCACAAGTACCTCTGACAGTTTGACACACATGATCAAACTAAATGCAAAATATGTGGCCATCCCCGTGGTCACTCTCTGGAACACTGCTTAATTGTCCACGCATTGACGAATTTAGAGTTAGAATAACCTTTGTGATGTCAAGATATCTTAATAATAAAAATACCAAATTTTCCTAAATTTGCTGGCAACAGATTAGTCAACTGTGGGTAGATATAAATCCAGATGTATGAAGTAAAAGGACACAAGTGCAACTAATGTGACATTTTATTGTGGCAACGTTTCGCTCTCCAGGAGCTTTATCAAGCTCGGACTCGACCCCCGCAACCTCATCTAGGTGAGTACACACACCACACACACACCACACACACACACCACACACACACACCACACACACACCACACACCACACACCACACACCACACACCACACACCACACACACACATCACACACCACACACACATCACACACCACACACACATCACACACCACACACACATCACACACCACACACACATCACACACCACACACACATCACACACCACACACCACACACACATCACACACCACACACACATCACACACCACACACATCACACACCACACACAAACCACACACACACACCACACACACCACCACACACCACACACACACACCACACACACCACACACACACCACACACACACCACCACAAACCACACACACACACACACACCACACACACACACACACACACACTCCACACACACCCACACACACTCCACACACACTCCACACCACACACACACACACACACCACACACACACCACACACACACACACACACACACACACACACACACCACACACACACACACAACACACCACACACACACACACTACACACACACACACACACACACACACATCGTACTCATATACAACAGGCCTAGTGTCTAATCGACATGTGCCTAGGACAAAATGGTAACTAACACACAAACATACAATGTAACGAAAGTGAGGCAAGGACAGGACTACAGGAAAATACGCTACAGTGTATGAAAGAATATAACAACACGAAGTAACTAACAAGTTATATACTAGGAGCAGGTGTCCATGGATGTGAATAACGAGTTGATTTATACAAGGAACTGTTGTGGATTAAACAATAAACAAAAAATCTATTCAGAAGTCCTACTGTCCGAATTGCCTAGACATGAAACTACAACCGGAAACAGTACAGCTTGGAAACAAAGGGTATGTCTCATTTGCCTAACTATTTTTGGAACTCGAGACCTGACTCTGAAATGCTCAGTATATTTCTTGCTCATAATGAATAGTCCGAGGAAACAAAGCAATAATAATAACAGTAAGGCTAACAGATAATGCAGGTGAGAGGTCTCAACAAAAGCCGAACTGGTGTGATGGATGTTTCACAGTACGTCAGACAGTCATAGGTACACAGACCAAGACACTATCAGTTGCGTCAGATGAGTCACAATCTGAACGCGATCTGGACCTGTCTAACGAGAATCTTAGAAAGCTGCCTGGTACGATTCCTTATGAAACTTAGTTTTTATTTTTTCATTACTTTTATTTATGCTTTTTTTTATTACATAAATACTTAGCTAGGTTTCAATGAAATATTATATTACAGAAATGCGCTTGATTTAGCGCTAAATAAACTAAAAAATCTTAAAACCGAGTCCGCGCAATTTAGAAAAATCTCGCTCTGAAAACCATCAATCAATCAATCAATCAAACGTTGGCAATCCTGAATATTGTCGCAACCACTTCTACTTCTTTCACAATAACTAGTGTGCTCTCTCTGATACGACTTAGTATGAGTAACCAGACACAGCAGAGAATGAGAAACGTCTTTGCCTATACTTAAATATTATGTTTCACCCAGAAACCAGGACATGTGAACACGCACTAAGAGATAGGACTATGTAA